ACGGAGCTGCCTGCGGACGCCTGTCTGTAAATAATGCCGGATCGGCGAACGCAGCAGCCCGCATCGGCCGATGCCGATACACGTAAAAAACGCAAAAATCGGCCGATTAAATCGGCCGGCCGATGTATCGGTCGATCACTAATAGTGATATTACAGCTGTTTGTGGTTAAACTAAAGGTCTATCTCTGTAAGGATCCTTTCCATAATGCTGACACTAAGAATCCTAATCCCCAAGGATTAGCTAACATTACGTGGCAGGCATAGAAGCCTGTTTTGCTAATATTTTCTCATCCAACTCTGTGAATTAAGATTTATTTTGATCAACCCATAGTTGGTGATTGCTGGAAAGACTAATAAAGACAAATACAGTTTTATTTCATTTCTGTCCACTTTTAAGTGTTTTATTGTTTGTGAGGTAGAATGAATGGAGTCTGGTGGGCCGTAGTGATGGTGCGACATATAGTGGCAGTTAATTTCATACATAGAACATTTAAAGTTCTGCACCACTTCAGTTCTTCTTTCAGCATCTTGCCGAGTGATAAGCAGTACCTTGTATTTCCCAGGGTTCTTCAGGGCACAGATTAGCGCCCCGTGGCCGCCCATAGAGTGACCGCTAATGGATATCCTGTCTGGGTTGGTGGGGAAGTTAGCATTGATCAGTTTGGGGAGCTGAAAGAGAGAAGGATCATCCAGAACACTCATGAGCTGAAATAGAAAAGTTGAGTTTTTCAGGTGAGCAGGTGACTTAAATCCAACCCACCTCCGCGGTGACGTAGGAGTACATGCGGTAGTTGGTCTTCCAGGGGTCCTCTGTGGAGTCGACATAGAAACCAGCTCCAGTGCCGAAATCCCAGTTCTCATCCTCCCCCTCGATGTTACAACCACCTGATGCATGATGGGAAACATCAGTCACCTCTAGAGAGACAACTTTACAGAATGATCCTTTCAAAAATGGAGTTCCACAGGGTTCTGTCCTGGGACCTTTACTGTTCCCACTGAAGTGCTTGCTCACATATTATTAATAAACACAATATCAGTTACCACTTCTATGCCAAGGACACACAATTATATCTCAATAAATTAAACGACCGCCACTTGTGCGTTGCAGAGATCAATAATTGGATGACATTTAATTTCAACTAAAATCTGAGATTATTTTCATGGATCCAGACTCATCACAGAATTGCATTATACTATCTATCTAGGTTCTCATCTAATGCTGAGTTCCCACCAAACACGACTAGATGTGAATAGATACGAATTTGAATTTTTATTGATTTTACTGTTTTGCATGCAGAGTTATTCAATTGTCAACCACATACACTGGATGGATTTTAATAACTTTAATGTACTTGAAGTGTATTATCTAAAAAAGTATTGGATCATGACTCAGTATCGGCAGATAATCAATATTAAACGACTCAGATCAGATCGGGAGCTCAAAAAACTTGACAGACTTACTAATTATATTATTAATATCACAATATTTTACTCATTGTTCCTTATTGCTTTTTTAATAAAGTGTAAATCATGGAAGGTTTTTAATTTGAGAAAAATTACAAACATATTTAAACAAAAGGTTGTTTCAGGGAAATTTTCAGTTCCTCCCAAATTTCCTCACTTTCAGTTTCTTGCTGCACTATTTTTTAGCAGCGCTAGAAATGAAGGATGTCTTGTTGTTTCGGCCCCTTCAGAGCTCGAAAATGACCCTAAAAATATGGATGCACGATAATTAACAAGGCAGATAATAGGAAGTTTATGTTATTATGAATTATTGGGATAATTATATTACAGCTAATAAATAATCTGGCCTCTGATGAAGGTGTGTTTGTTTGACTGTGTGTCTCCCCCTACGTGGGCTGGTGTCCGGAGCTACGATGATGATGCCGTGCTCCGCCGCAGGAAGCTGACTGCCGGCTTTAGTGATGAAGTTCTGCTCGGTACACGTCAGACCTGCAGAAAGAGAGAAACCAGATCACAAACTCACAAACAGACCAGCTGACCAACAACTGCGAGATAAAACACTGAGAAACAGACGGTACAGGCAGAATATCTTGTTTTATGACAATTAAATCATATTTTCTCTGTCAGAGATAAATCACTGTGTTAAGAACCACATTCATCACATTGTTTATTTAAACTTAATCACACAAATACAAACACACTTCATCCTGTTTGATAAAAAGTAGGGATGTTTCTGGCGACTAATTTCACCGTTGATTAAAGAGAAATTTTAATTTAAACTCTCAGCCGACTTTTTATCTCATAGATTTGATCTTAAGGCTGAATAAGTCTAATAAGTTAATAATGAGCTGTGTGAGGTTCGATAGTCAAGACTGAAACCAGCTGCTCGAGTCTCAGAGCAGGACCAAACGTTGGACTAGAACTTCTCCAGTGGGACAAAGAGGACTCTTAAAACCAAGGGGGGCATTAGTGCAGGGACGGGGGGCTGCTGCCTGCTGGGGCTCATTAATAACATACAATTATATAATATTCGACTTGTGGGTCTGCCCGAGGGATCCGAGGGTCCCCAACCTACAGAGTTTATTGCCAAACTTTTAATGGATTTGCTGGGACTCAACGAGATGCCCGGGATCGACAGGGCCCACTGCACATTGCGGGCTAAACCAAAGGAGGGAGAACCACCACGCCCGATGGTCATCGGGGGGTGACACAATTTCAAGTGAGGAATGCTATTCTCCGCCGCGCGGGACAGAGCTCCCCTCTGTTACACAACGGGAAGAGGGTGTACATCTTCCCGGACTTCACACCGACTGTGGCCAAGCTGAGGGCGGCTTTCGTCCAGGTGAAGAGGGAGCTCCATGCCTGTGCTAACGTTAAATTCGGCCTCCGGTACCCGGCTACTCTACACATCACCATGTCTAGCGGCCAGACCCACAGATTTGAAGACCCGGACCAGGCCCTGGACTTCGTCAACAAGAGACTTAAGAAGAATCCGGCCCCGGAGAGTGACTAACTCTGGAATCCACGTGCGCTCGACCGCTCCGTTGGTTTTGGGTTGATTTTCTGCGGCAGTTAGGCTGCATATCTTAGGCAGGTACACCCGTGGTATGCTGCTCGCTTTTTTGGTTATAGACTTTTAAATTCACAGTATTGACTGTTACTTGACTATAATGTTTTATTGCTTCACCTCCGAGCATATTGGTGCTATTTTTATTTTTTCTTTCAGTCAGTTCTTCTGCTTGATGAGGACGGTTTTCTGACCTGGAGAATGTAGTGCTTTTGAAACCGCTTTTTTTTATCTGATATTACTTTCTTATTTATCTATTTTTTATTTGGGGACAAGCCCATATTCCACTCCCCTGAGGGTTTAGGGCAGTTACTGTTAAGCTGGCTTGGTAACGACAGTTTTTTTTCAACGGTCTGGGGTCGAGGTACGCACGATCATTGGGTCTGGATGCTTCTGCTACGCGTTTAGCGAGGAAGTGGGTGTTTGTTCAAATGGTGCGGGGTTGTTAGTTGTGTAGGTTTTTCCGGTAATGTGGGTTTGGCACCTATGGCCCTATTTAATATGTATGGAGTGGATTTATCGCCTTTTTTCCTCCTCTCTTATCTTATCTTTTTGTTGTTCATATACATACTGACATTCTTTGTCTTTCAAATGACCCAGGGTTTAGGAGTACAATTATCCAGTGTTGGGTGGATTTAGGATTTGTGAGGTTTGGAATGTTAGAGCCTCAATAATCCAATCAAGGCGCAAGTTAAAGGTGTTGCACTATTTACGCCACTCCATGCCTCATATTAATGATACTACTGCCAGGAAACCCATTTTAAAAAGGATTTAGATTTATTGTACGACTGGAAGAAGAGCTTGGGGTTCGGGGAATAATATTACCAATTCATTCATTTTTCAGTAAATCTAGGGGGGGTTGCTATTCGTTTCACATACAGCTATTCCTTTTGCTCCATGTTAAGGACAATCTCTGATTACTGCTGGCAGGTCTTTATAGCTGTTCATGGGACACATTTTTTGATGTAAAAAAAGGGGTGACTCTTGCCAATGTTTATGCAACGCCAACTGGGATGGGGGCTGAGCTTTCTTTTTTAGACAGGTTTTTCTCAATGCTTACCGCGACTTGTCACTATGTATTGTTTAATCTTAGGGGAGGGGACTTTAACTGGCTGGCTAGAATCCTTTCCTAGATCGTTCTTCCTCCAACCCTCGTCTGCTTCTGTCCAAGTTGACCAAAGTGGATTCAAAGCCTTATGAATGAGTTAATTTGTTGATTCCTTGAGGTTTTTCTATTTGCGATGAAGGGAATACTCATTTCCTCATATTTCACCGTACGTATTACAGCGAATTTGACTTGCCCTTTTTAGTTGGATTACAGTTGTTATCCTCCAATTCCTGCTGGTAAATATTGCATTCAATTTTTGGTGTGCGGACCATGCCTCTAATTTCGTATGTATGTTTTTACTTTCAGACACTATTGTTAATACAAGACCACCATGGCGCCTAGATACACATTACTGTTAGGATATAGATCTATATTAAAATTTGTTTCTGAGCATTACAGATTTATTTTTTCACGGTTACCAAAATTCAGATATTAACTTCTCTGGTGTTGTAGGAAACAATGGAAGCTCTTGATCTCAGGGTTGGAAAATTT